TCCTCCTCCTCCCCCCTCCTCCTCCTCCTAAGGACTTGCCCCATTTGCACCCCGCTTGCGTTTGAGCGCGAGCGTCCGTCGACGCGTTCGACCACCCTGCGATCGAGCGCGTCGATGAGACGATCGCGGCCTGGGTGACTGGGCCACTGGGCAACCGCGGGCGAACATGTTCATCCGTGAAAATGCGTCGGCAAGGTCGACGCAGGCCCTCGGCGAAGCGCGGCAAGGACGGGGGCTCATCCTCCTGTCCTTGCGTGCGCAGGCGTCTCTTCCCGAGCCCCCGTCGGAGGCGCCGCCGATCGCGGTCGGTCCGACGGGCGATGGGGCGGAGGTAGATCGCCACACGTGCGTCATCTTCCTCGGCGAGGCTTGGATTTCCCCGGCGGTAGCGCGGCGCAAAAACAGGCGGGGTCCTAGCGCCCTGCCCCGGCCGCGCAGATGCAGGCGATGCAGGGCGACGCGCCCGGCACAGGAGTTGGGCCAGTTTTTTGACGGACACCCCAGAGGAATGTTCGCGCCGTTTCGGCCGCCGCAAGCGCCGGCAGCGATCGGGGGGACCCCATCGAAGCTCGAGGCGCCCGATGCGCGGCGGCGTCGGACGCGCGACTTCTGGCGGGGCCGCGCGCGAGACCCTGCGACGCGCGGGGCCCAGCTGGCCGAACTTCCGCGGCCGGCCCGGCGATTGTCGGCGGCGAGCGAGGGGAGGAACTGAGAAGGAGAAGGCCTTCTCAGAAGGCGGCGGGACTTCTCAGAAGCCCTCGCGCCTTCTGAGAAGTTGTCTCTGTCTTCGGGGAAGGCTTAGAAGACTTCTCAGAAGTGCGGGGGACTTCTGAACCTTCTCAGAAGGTACGCCCCTTCTCACTTCCCCCCCCTCCCCCTCCCCTTCCTCCTCATCCCTCCTCCTCCTCCTCCTCCTCCTCCTCCTCCTCCTCCTCCCTCCTCTCCTCCTCCTCTCCTCCTCCTCTCCTCCTCCTTCTCCTCCTCCCCCTCCTCATCACTCCTCCCTCCCTACGCTCCTACCCTCCTCCCTCCTCCTACTCCCCGTGGTCGCGATGATTTGGACGGCGGCGCGGCAAGTGAGACGCGCGGGGCGGGGCTCCCCCAGCGGCGGCGCGGGCGGATGCAGCTGTCGAGCGTTCCCGGCCCCTTCCTGGCGCGCTCACGCTCGGCGCGCAGCGCAGGAGGCGCCCCGGCGCGCGCTCTCCTCGGAGGGCTTCGTGGCTGACACTTCGGGAGGGGATTATTGCCGGCGTGGGCTCCGCGTGGGGCAGTCGCGCCGGCCACGCGCGCGGCGCCGTGGCGCTCGCCGCCGCGGCGCCGCGGCGGCGCTCGCCGCCGCGGCGCCGCGGCGCCCTCCGGCGAGCGGCGGGCTCGGGGGGGATTCGAGCGCCCGCGCGGGCGTCGCGCGTTGCGCGCCGCGAGGCGTCGGGCGGCGATCGCGGGGCGGGTCGCGCCGCCCGCCGCCGCCGCACCCCGCTCGGCGCTGCAGCGGCCGCGCCGCGATCCGCGCCGCCGCGTGCCGGCGCGGACGCCGCGCCAGCGGATGGCGCCGAGCTATCCTGCGGCAGATCCGCAGGCCAAGGTTGAGGGTGGCCACAAAATACCGATGGGGCCCCATCGCGCGACGCGCGCCCACGGAGCGCGCGGCGCCGCGCGCGCGCGCGCGTCGCAGGCGGGCGCGCCCAGCAGGCGGCCCAGCTGGAGGCGCGCACGCGGGGGGAGCGCCGTGCCGCGGGCCCCCGCCGTCGCGCGCGATCGCAAGCGCACGGGCAGGCGCGCGACCCAGGCCGTGGGCCTGGGCTCGGGCACGTCCCCCTACAGGAGGACTATTCCAAAACAGTTTAAAAGATATGTCCGGGGCGATTCTGCGACATTTGTTTTACCATCTTTGATTACTTATTGAGTACGTTCGGCTGTTCATCCAAAGTCCGCCTGTAGGGGGACACGCCCGACCTTCGCCTGGGCGCGGCTTAGTTCAGGAGCGCCGCGCGTGCCCGTCTGCGTGTCCCTTCGGTCCCCGGAGGTGGGGGAGGTGGAGGAGGAGGAGGAGGAGGAGGAAGTGGAGGAGGAGGAGGAGGAGGAGGAGGAAGCGGAGGAGGAGGGAGGAGGAGGAGGAGGGGGAGGGGGAGGGAGAGGAGGAGGAGGAGTAGGAGGAGGAGGAGGAGGAGGAGCAGGAGAAGGAGGACCTGTGTCTATTCTTGGTGTTGTGGACCTGTCCCTGTGTCGCCAGGGCCCCGGGCAGGGCGGCGCTCGTGGGGCGGATTGGGTCACCCGCCGCCGCCGCCCGCCCGGCGTTGTCCTGACTGCGCCACGTCCCATGTCCGTTTCGCCGTATGTCGGCGCGGGCACCGCGCCAGTGTGCACCAAGTTGTTCTGTGTTCGCTGTTTCTGGTTATTCGTGTTCTTCGGTTCTAGCGATTTTGGAAATACGTCAAAGAACCATTAAACAACCAGGAAAATAGTCAGTCATACAATTGCTGGAACATGTGGTCTTCACAGCATGAGGGGGAAGGGAGGGAAGAAAAGGGACATGAAAATCGAGGGAGGAGAAGGAGGAGGATACTGACGGGGATGGAGGATGAGACAAATTAGGTAGACGATGGGGAAAAAATAGACGAGGAGTACGAAGGAGGAGGACTGGGCAGGAGAGCGAACGATTTGTAGGAGCGAGCACAGGAGAAACAGAGAGGAGAGCAGACGAGGAGGAGCATGGAGGAATAGAAGGATGAGCAGGAATGGGTGAGGTACGGGAGAGGACACATGAGGAAGGGGGAGGAAGAGGAGGAGGAGGAGGAGGAGGAGGAGGCGAGGGAGGATGGGTGGAGGAGGTCCTTTCACCATGACCAGGAGGGGCACAGGAGAGGCGAAAGGGAGGTGCCGTGAGTCTGCTCGTCCCCCCTTTGGTGCCCGGCGCCCCGACAGGATCGACACGGACGGCGACAGGAAGCTCTCGCGGTCTGAGTTCACGAGGGCCATGGAGAGCAAGAAGGAGCGCCTCCCAGAGCGACGGCACGGGCACGATAGCAGCAAGCTCGTCCGCACGGCCTTGCCATGCATCCGTCACGGACCCGCCTAGCCCAGCCACGCTCACGGTGAAGACCCCTTGGACGGGCCGTCCAGGGGGACCGGAGCTTTCCCTGTGCAGATCGTGGGGTCGCACACAGACTCGGCCTGGATGCGTCATTCGACAGTGTCCAGAGGCGACGCGATGCACAGGGGTGCAGCACGGGGTGTTGGAGTTGACATCCTTCTCTCCGGGTATATTGCCAGCCCCGCGCCAGCAATGGGATTCGTTCATTTTGTAACCATATGTCGCGCAACGCTTTGTACTCTCAGTCCGTGCCGTGTGGGGGAAAGGCGAAAGAGGCGGAGGAGGAGCAGCAGAAGAGGGATCAGGGCGAACTACAGCGACAAGAAGAGCAGAAGAAGCAGGAACGGGATCGGGAGCGGAAGGTGAGGAGGAGAGGGGCGGCTTAGGAGGACAGAGCAAGGGGGCGGACCATTAGGCCACCCATTTCCCAGTCGAGCTCCAGCAGGCGAGATGTGCGAGCAGCAGGAGTGGCATTGCGTAGGAGCTAGGACGCGTGGAAGAGGTAGCACACGCAGCAGCAGGCAGACCAGAGCATCGCCAAGAGTGGCAGCAAAAGGGGCCAGGAGGCGGCAGCGGAGCACGCGGCAGGCCCCGCAGACAGCGGAGGCAGCCGCGGGGGCGAAGCGGGGCACGAGACGCACCGCGAGAGTACAGTCGGGGCCCTGAAGAAGGAACACTTTTGGTTGGGGAGGGGCTCCGCGTTCCTTAAGTGTTTCACAGCTTGCCTCAGCTTTTCCTTATGTGTTCGATCGGAAACCGAAGGTTAACTTATGGAGAAAAGGGGCCTCCTTCCTTATTCAGGGTTCCTTAGGTCAACGCCCCGACTGTAGCACAGCAAGAGCAGCGCGCACGAGCCAGCAGCAGCAGCAGCAGCAGCAGCAGCAGCAGCAGCAGGTGAGGGCGAAAGCCGACTTGGGGCTCCCAAGTCCCCCACTGAACGTGGCACAAAAGGTGACGACGTGTCATCCTGTGCTTCGATCCTTGGGGTGCCCCGTCTGTAGAGCCAGCAGCAGCAGCAGCAGCAGCAGCAGCAGCAGCACTGGCACAAAGAAACGCCCCGAAGCGCCCGCCGGCGCACGGTGCCGCCCACGCGCGGCGCCCAGCGAGCCGCACGCGCGCGCCGGCGCCCACGGGGGGCGCCCACGAGGGTGCCCACGGGCCGCAGCCCGAGGGCGCCGGCCGGGCGCCCACGGGCGCCCAGCGGCGGCAGCGGGCCGAGAGGGGGTCATCGGCGTCCCAGGCGGAGGAGGAGGAGGAGGGGGAGGAGGAGGAGGAGGAGGAGGAGGAGGAGGAAAGCCCATTTGGCCTCTGGCGATCTGGGCCTGCGACCGATCGCTCGGTCAGGGTCGATCGGCGCCTGCCGCCCGATCGATCCCGCAGAAGGCCGATCGCGAGGCCGGGCTCAGCGCGCCGCGGATCGGCGATTGCCGCCGCCGCTGCCGCGCCCTGGCCCCCCCGCCTGGCGGCTGCTGCGCGCCCTCGGCGCGCCCAGGAGAGGCCCGACGCCCGAGCCCGCCTGGCACAGGCGGCAGAGGGAGCGCCGGGCGTCGGCGCGGGCCCTCCTGCGCGTCGTGAGGGCGGCCGACATCCTGGCCAGCCACCATTCCGCGCAGCAGCACCAGTGCAACCAGAAGAACGAGCTGCAGGACTTCGAGACCAGCGAGATGGCGATCAACACGAAGTCTCACGGCCATCCAGTGGGTGCCAAGCCGTGGCCATGGAGGTCAGGTACACCAGCAGCTGGATCCTCGTACCGCCGACACCATGGAGGGCATGGACAACAGCAGCCACGGCACCAGCACCAGCACAACCAGCACCACCACACCTCCCACCACGACGAGGAGCGACAGCAGCACAATGACGCCCAGCATCAGCAGCAGTACAAGTACGACTACACGACGCCGAGAACGAAGCGGGCCCACTCAAGAAGACGCCACCAGGCCCCCGAAGACGCCACCAACGACCACCGACAGTTACCAAAGCTGACGAAACTTCAGTTGGAGGTCACAGAAAAGGTAATGCCCGCCCTGCTCTCGGACGCCAAGGGACACGAAAGCTTTTCTCTTCCTCCCGACGACCCAGACATACGTCGGGTTTGGCACGCCACCAAGGTGGCGCGGATGGCACGTCTCGCCGACCAAGTCCAAGGAGCATGGCAAGCCCAAGTCGACCCGACCCGCTTGATCGAGGAGCTAGCCATAGTCAAGACCATGATACACATGCTGGACACTCCGACGGCGCGCATTGCACAATACAGATCCCAAGTGGAGTCACGGATACAGAGACAGCAGACCGTCGAGAGCCAGCTCAAAGACCTCAATAAGGAGCACGACGAAATCAAGGGCGAGATTGCATCCCTCAAGGCACTCATCTCCGAGGCCAAGCAGTATCGAGAACACGCCGAACTTTACGAAGACAGCTGTGACGGGGATGGTGAAGATGACGTGCGACAACGCATCAGGGGCAAGACACCACATCCCGAGAGAAGACAGCGAACACCAGTCCGACAACCGGTATATGAGCCAGCGCATGCTTCGACCACCAACGACAACAGCGACCTGCGGAAACTCATTGACGTGCTGACTAGGAGAGTGGACGAGCAACAGCGTAACCACGGAATACACCAACACCATCTGGCGTTTCTCCATCATGAACGTGCCGAATCAGATCAACACGAAGCACAACGTCAACTGCAGACCGAGCAGATCCACGAGCTCTCGCAGCACCTACAACATTGCCAGGAACAATTCCAGAAAGCACAACTCCAACAGAGACAGTCGTACTATGACGAGATCCAAGCCTTCCGACAGCGCGAAGAGCGGCTCCGACAAGAGGCTCGCGAGTCCATCACGGAGAACGTTGCTCACTACCAGCAGAAGGAGGCCCACCTGCGCTACCAGCTCAAGGAGGAAGAGTCAGCGCACCTCGCCACCTTCATCATTCAGAGGAAGCAAGAGGAAGAGACTTTCAGACATCAGCTACACGAGAACGCCGAGATCATGGTCCAACAACATCAACAACGCTGCCACGAACAACAGCAACGTCTTCTCTCCGAGAAAGCTCAGGCACAGCAGGACATCAGCAACATCGCGAGGCTCGAACAGAACCAGCTTCAGGATGCTAAGGAACTACTCTTGGAGGAGTTCGGACAGATCCAGGCTCAGAAGTACCGCACCTTGACAGCCCAGAGCGAGTACAACAGCGAGATCGACAGGCTTCGAGGCACTTCCCGTGACATGCAGCGCTTCGAGAACGAACTCCAGGAGAAGCACCAACTCCAACTACAGGAGCATCTTCAGCAACACAGACAGGAACGAGAGCGACTGCACTGCGAACTACAGCAGGCCCACGAGTACGGCACCAGCATCGACGTGGATATCCTCAGGGAGCTCGACACACAACTTCAAGAACGAGACGAGGAAGAAGCACGACTGCAAGCCCAAGCAGATGCTGAACAAGCACAGATCGACAAACAAGTTCAAGCGGCACTCCACCTGCTGACCCCACCGTCTTCCTCTGATGACTCGGGCGATCAACTATACCACAGAAACCGCGGCAGCAGCAGCGGAGGACAGCCCAGCAACAGCGGACAGCGCAGCAGCACACCACCACCACGTTGTGAAGGAATGCCCCGCCAGATTTCGATTCCCAGCCACGTTGTGAAGGAATGCCCCGCCAGATTTCGATTCCCACCTGCGATGCCAACCGCCACTCCCACTGCGAGACGCCCATGCCACGACGCCGACGACGCCAGTGTGCATACCCCAATCCCAGCCGACGACGACGACCTTTGCAGCCCAACCCCTGTTGCGAGTGACGCATATCCCTTCCCTGTCCCTACGCCTTTACCCACCCCCGCCTCGCTTACGCCGATCCCCACCGAGCAGCATACGCCCATCGGCTTCCACCCACCCGACCCGCAAAATGACCGACCCAGCTCAGCGCCACCACCACGCACCAGAAGGACAAACTCAACTCAGCACAACCACCCATCCACTACTCTCCTCATTGACATCACCTCCGACGACGATGTACCACCACCTTCCACCCCAGTGCGCATTCCACTAGCCGACATATCTCCTACCGCACCGATGCAGCCAATCCAACCACCACCTCGCTTCCACCTCGCCACGCCCGACCGCGCCACATCTGCTCCTCCGCCCCGCACAGCTCTCCGAAAAAACGGATCATCTAGACGAGCGGCCAAGCCCAAGAGAGTCCGTATCTGCGACATCGGAGACGGCTTCGCAGATCCAGGAGACCGAGTGCCAACCTTCCTCAATGACGAGGAAGCCCCTGCGGTCAACTCACCAAAAAACTAACGAGGCCCTCACCCCCTGGGGGGCAACTGGCCCAGGGGGAGCGGCCCAGCATCATACCAGAAGACTGCCTGTGCAACGACGGCACTTCCGACTCCTGCAGTGGTTACGCCGACGACGTCAGGCGCCGACTATTTGAGCCCCTGGTGAGCTCCGATCCACCATACGACACTTCACAAGTTTCACCTACCCACTCATCAGCCAATGGCGGTATGCGCGTTGGGGAGAGCGCACCTCCAGATTCTTACGAGCATGGCGATATGTGGGAAATCCACACACCGCCCAACATGCGACAGCCTAGTAGTGGACCGTGGACCATCCCCTCGGCCTCTACCTCTCGCTTGGGGAGTGCGAGAAGGCTGTCTCACACAGACAACACACGAGCACCACATACGCTAGCGGACCGACCAACTACCGTCACCCGACCCCGACGGCAGCATGTCGACTCACATCCTCCACCAGCGGAAGCCCAGTCACGGTCGATCCCGACGATGACGACGCCACCGCCTACGCCTCGAGAGGAAGCATCGCTTTGTGAGCACGACACGGGGGGGCACACCTCCAGTGGTTGCGGTCGTT